GCTGTCTTCGTCTTCGAGCCGTGCTGCGATGCGCTGCAGTAACTCGTCTGTGAGGCTGGTCTGGCCTTGAAGCACCCCAACTGCTGCCCATCGGACGTCGCTGTCTTCGTGTTCAAGCCGTGCTGCGATGCGCTGCAGCCACTCGTCTGTAAGGCTGGTCTGGCCTTGAAGCGCCTCAACTGCTGCCCTTCGGACGTCGCTGTCTTCGTCTTCAAGAAGTGCTGCGATGCGCTGCAGCAACTCGTCTGGCAACGTCTTGTGCTGCTGTCCCACGATGCCCAAGATGGCGGTTTTCAACTTCGGCAAGGCACCGGTTTCCAACCACCGGACGATCAGGTTTAGAACACCGAACGAAACTGTTGCTCGTCTATCTAGACTTCTCAAAATGACAAGTCTTGCATTCTCAGATGCTTGATCCAGTGTACTGACCAGGACCTTCTCTGGACACTCCATCTCCCTGGCTAAGTAGCAATCTTGCGTTGATTGGCATTCGAACAACAACCATTGGCCCAGTTTTTCTTCTAGCTTCGTTCTGAATGTTGTAAAACCAGAGTCTTCCCACCCGATTTCGCTCAGGCAATGCATGACTAAGCGCTGATGCGTCAGACCTAAGAGGTCACGTGGCTTCTTCTCAATCGCTTCAAAGAAGTTTAGTGCCTCCCCAGCAGCATCGAGCAAGCCAGCGACGAAGCGCCAGAAGATATCGTAGCGAGGATCGTACTTGTGCTCCTGGAGAAAGGTGGCAGGTTCTTTCTCAGTACATTTCCCGTTGCCGAGCTTCAGACAGCTGAGGGGTCGTTTCGCATTCCACTGTCGTACAAAATACCGTGCTGCGAAATACTCTTGGAAGGTCAGGTGCAGAAAGTGGTACTGCTGATTGTGGTGCCTCGCGGAAGGATCTGACGTTCGCAAAAAAGAGAGTCTCTCGATGGAAAACTCTGTTACAGACAGGCCGAAGTGATGATAGATTCTGTTTCGATGGCTTGATTCAAAGTCTAGCATATCGTTGTGGAGTCCGGAGAATGCGAGAGCTTCTAGGAGATCCACGTGCTCCCCCATGATCTCCTCGACACGATTGATATTCATCTTTCGACACTCTGACTCTGATCTGGAATGTAGCCGATGGACATCCTTCCGCCATAGTTTCAACGAAATAGCTTCGTAGATCTCGGTCATCGTCTCCGGCACATTGTCCGAGCTGAAACTCTCATCCCATGTGAAGCAGAGCGCATCTAGCTGAATTGGGATCCGGACAAGGCCCTGGATCAGCCACTGCTTCTGAAGAAATGACTGGATCTCCTTAACCTTTTCTGGATCGGGAACGGTTTTCTCAAGATAACAATCGACTTGTTTGGGAGAGAACCCGACTGTTTCCAGCTCGAGGTCGAGACTGCTAAAGCCATTTGGACGTGTGATATGTGGCCTGGTCGTAACAATGACGTTGGGGCGATTCAGAAGACCTTGCAGAAACTCAGACGCCGCATTACTCGAATCCAGGAGCTCGGATACCTCATCTAGACCATCGAGGATAAACAACGTACCGGGACTGTTCGTTACCTCAGCGTCGACGGCGCTCCACAGTTCCTTGGCAAGACCGCGGCCATCCTTGTGACCCTCGAAATAGATATGGTAGAACAACTGCCCGAGATTGTACTCAGAGTACGTCCGTTCTTTCAGCTTGCGTAACGGCACCCAAAGCACGCGACTGAAGAGTGCCTCCCACATGTGGGCATAAGTGAAATCGTAGACGATCTTTTTGCACAAAGTAGTCTTCCCGACTCCAGCGCGTCCTCGGATTAAAACTCTTCTTGTCTTTCTCGTCTGGCCGCTAGAGTCTTTGCGGGGATCGAAAAGAGATGACAGTTCCACCTGGACGCCCTCGCCCGGCATCTCTACCTTTAGCCGAGCGGCGAGTGAAAAGGGGGACGCGTAAGGTGTTGCCTCCTTTCCCAACCCTTCCTCTGCGCGCCGAGCGCTTTTGTCAGGCTCTTCGACAATGGCGAGGTTGATGTAGCAACGTTCCAGCGGAAGCAGGTCGCCCGAGAGTCGCTCGATCTTAAGCCTGTCTGCGGTGTAGTGCTTTGTGCGCATCCAGACGTCTGCTTGCTCGAGCGGTTGGCCTTTGCGGATCTTCTGAATCATCTCCGCAATCTTGCCGGATACACGGCCGAAATCTTCGCTCTCAGTGCAGCTGCTCTTGCACTCTCTGCACTCGCTATGCGCAAACTTGTTCATTAAGATATGTGGTCGACTTAGTGGTAACGGGTGTGGAACCATGTCCAAGGCCGCTGAGGACTCATTTACCAGCTGATGAACGTTAGTCATTCTGACTGACGACAAACAAAATGGCATGGGTATCAGAGGCTCACCAGCTTTTCTCGTCGGAGCCAGGCCGGCAACCAAGGGAACAGTTTGCTCGGAAGACTCGTCTTGCCCTTTTCGTAGAAGGTTGAGACATGGCACGGATAGTCCCTGTCCTGACACAGCGAAGTGAAGTCCTGCCTAAGTTGCACGAGATCTAGAGTCGGCTCCTTCACGGTGGTAAGCAGTTTGATCACTTCTCGACCTTGAATCCAAGCCCAGGCATTCAGACCTGGTTCCGCGAATGCGGCTACATCTTGGAACGAAGTCCCATGGAAAGGCGTGGCGAGAAATACGATACCGCGTGTAGCCCTCCGGACGGACTGATATGCCCGGCCAGCGCCCACAAGTGCTTTCATCAAGACAATCCCACCAAGACACGAGGCGATGAAGAGGATCGGCCGATCTTCGCTCGTCGCAGGGTCGCCGGTGATCTGAGGTCGGTGGCGGACCTCCTCGAACAGGAGTGTAGCAAACTCGCCGTGAGTCTTTTGAACCAAGTCTGACGGTTGCAGCAGATCGGCGTGCCAGTCATATGTGAAGATGCGGACGCCTCTGACTCGGTTTGGGAGCATATGGGAATCAACCAGCCAATTGACCTCGCAGCCATCTCCGCGCCATGTCCACGTCTTCTCTGAGTTCGTGTCGAGGCCATGGATGGCAATGATGTCGATGTCTGGGTAGGGTTCGCCCCTCCCAGGGTCGTCGTTCGTAGGGTACACCTGGCGAAGGCGGGGTCCTTCTCGCGAGGATGGTGTTGAATCTTGGGCGCGGTGGGCCTGGTGCGAAATGTGCTCTGGCCGACGCGGTCGCGCTGCATCTGCATACGCGAGCGCGCGGAGAAGATACAGACCAACAATGATCGTCCCTCCGGTGATAATAAGATGCTGGCTGACGTTGGCTGAGTTCATTGCCATAGCGGGAGCCAAAATCTAGCGTGCACTGGCGGAGCGGCACCGAGCGTTAGGCGCTAAGGTCGATAGCTTGCGACGCAGCCCTTCAGGCGAAAGTCGCTACGTACTGCACTTTCGCGATGGTCGAGAAGAGCGCTCTCTTCACGCTGACAATGCGCAGAGATGTGTGGTGTGTAGGCTGAGACGTTGGATCAGTTGTTGGGCGGGGTCTGAGCCACATCCCATAACCGCCCGCCTTGGTCCAATCACGCTCATCGGCCAGTCCTGCTGCGGCGTTGCCATATGATTGCATGCATCTCTCCTTTACTCCGCGCTTCCACCACACCGCTAGGCAGACACTTCAAGTATCGATAATTACGCCCTTTCAAGTCCTCGCAGGCAAGGAATAGTCGCGACTCCAAGAGGCATTCACAGCCTCCCTGTCCGACGACTAGATCCCTTCTAATCCCCTGGATCACATGGCGCCCCCGGGCCCACCACTTTGGCCGGTACGCTGCCAGCACCTAAGCGTGCATCCACCTGACTAGAGCATTGTAGATCACAAGCGGGGTGCTTGGGAGGGAGGATGGGAAGCGCACCACCGACATTTTACCAGCTGCATATCATTACGACGAGGCCGCTGGCAAGAGAGTCGTTGGCAACCCAGCCGAGGACATATTGGCGTTCTTACAGACAGAACTGTCCCTCGGCAGCCTGGCCAACATGCTGAGGCATTTGGGGTTTGCCGGCGCGAAGCGTCCTGCCAAGCCATTGCACTTCCAAGCGGTCTTGAGCCGGGAGATCGTCGTCGTCGACCGGATGGACTTGCATCTCCTATGGACGAACGAGGGGAGGCTCTTCGTCAAGCCCGTTCCCCGTTTTCTTCTAGATCCGGCTTTTTGCCGGGTCAACTTACAGTGCTCTCAGGCCTGCACGTGCGACACTAAAGCAGAAGGAACATGTCGATCAAACGCGCGGAAAGTCGCCCTCGGTTTCCTATACACCTACGCCTGTCTGATACCATCGGAGAGCGATTTCCACGTTGCCAACGAAAAGCGTCTCTTGCCTCGCAAAGGAGACGATAGGCCAATCGAATGGGCCGACTGGAAGCTCCTTGTCAGGGAATTGCTTCGAGCGCACGAGCGCGACCCGGATATCATGCACCCTCGATTTCTGCGCGCCGAGCTTCGCCTCTCGCGCATCAACACCATCCACCGCTTCACACGCCTCCCGCGTTTCGATCCCTACCTCCGCAGTCGGCACAATTATGGGAGTTTCTTCGGCGACAACCTCGCCTGGATGGCAGCCGCCACCATCTTCATCGCCCTGGTTCTGACCGCAATGCAAGTCGGCCTTGCGACGGAGCGGCTTCAGGATGACGTTGCCTTCCAGCAGGCGTCATACGGCTTCACGGTCTTTGCCATCTTAGGGCCTATTTGCGCATTTGGCCTGGTGATTCTAGGCGCGCTGTTCCATCTTGTCAAGGACCTGCCGTTGCTACTCGGAAGACAGCGCACTCACAGGGAGGCTTCCTACACTTCATTTGACAACATGGGGGACACGGCCTAGGTCAGGTTCCCGACCCTAGGTTAAAGACTTATCAGGGCGCAGTGAACCTCAGTAAAGTTGTGCTGTCTTCGCGGCAGGGTTAGGTTCTTCGACCTTCTCGAGCCCGATTTCCGTCCAATGGCCCTAGCGCCGACGACGAGACGTAGAAGCCGATCCTTTGACTCAATGATAATCCATGCCATCCCAGATCTATGTCTATAGACGTTGAGCTGGAGAGAAGAGCACGCAGAAGAGACGGCTCGAACACGAAGACAGCTACGTCCGAAGGGCAGCAGTTGAGGCGCTTCAAGGCCAGACCAGCCTTACAGACGAGTTACGGCAGCGCATCGCAGCACGGCTCAAAGACGAAAACAGCTACGTCCGAAGGGCAGCAGTTGAGGCGCTTGTGAGTCAAGAGGCGCTTCCGTTCAACAGTCTCAGCACCTACGTAAAGCCCCTATTTCTAGCTTTACTAAAGAAAAGCTCTACAGAACATGTGTACTAGTATGTTTCAGACAAGAGCTTTATTGGGGTTAGTTCTAGACATTTCTTTAGACTGCAAAAGAGAAGGACAGTTTAGCAATTAGATGTTAGATTTGTAGAACTATCTAGGTGTTCCTCCTCTTTGTACTTAAGGCACGCTGTATATTTAGAGCCTAGAACACGTTGCCTAATTAGTCTCTGTCTTTTAGTTTTGTGATACTGCCTAGCCTACCTGCTTGCTAAGCAATATAAGTACAACAAGTCCCTTGCCCTATATAAGAGGGCATGTGATGGGTACAGTGTTGTTCTTGGCAAGCACCACCCAACTACCTGTGCGTGCTGCCAACACCACAGCGCCGTGCTCGCGTTACAAGAGCAGTCTGACGTTGTCTTCTCTGCAGCTGCGCTAGACAAGGGTGTGAGTGCGCCTACTTGCAAGTTTTTGAGGTTGTCACAGGGGTTAGCACATCTAAGGATCAGGAGCTTAAAAGACAGGAAAGGCTAAGGAGGCAGTTTGTAGATACAGTGCTTTGTATAAAGCAAAGTATATTTAAATAACTAAGTTACCTGCTTTTGTTGCCTTGCCACTGTGCTAACACTTGAAGCAGCGACTGAGGCGGGCGTGACTGGACGCTCGGCTACAGCTGCCTGCGACTGGAGATAAGAGCTGCCTAAGGTCAGGTGATTATTGGAGCTGCAGCCCTCAGCCGCAGCCCTCAGCCACAGCGCGCACTGTCTCTGGCAGACGTCTCAGCACGCTACTGCCGCTGAATGTCGCTTAAGACGCACGGGCGGTCAGATGCGTTTTGACGATCTTGCCGCCAGCGCAGAGAAACTGCCAGGAGGCATACTCCTCACCTTAACTTGACCTGATGGGGCTGCAATCTTGTACTTTGCTATCTTGGCTTCCTTTTTAGACCACCAAGTTCCTTAAGAACATGGCCTGTCACGCACAGACAAGGGGGTGTTAGATAAGAGTTAGAGGACAGCACATACAGAACAGGCAACAGCACGGTCAACGCTGCGATTCACATCGTCGGCGTCTGACGAGGTAGAAGGCTGAGCGCCACTGCGTTGATGGACGCTGGAACTGTCAGTTTTTGAGGATGGTGTGAGCATGCTGAGGATCTGAAAGAAAAAGTGTCCCGTCACACTGTGCGTCCCAGCACGCAGGGACTGACATTAGCTGCTGCTCCTTCTAGGATAATCAAAGCTTAATATTATTAGTATCTTGACTTCTTGTGGTGTTGTGATGCCTACAAGAAGGTTAACTTGGCAGAAAATTAATAAGCCAGCACCTAAATTAACACAGGAGGCACCCGCACCTACAACACTAGCAGCATCTAGTCAGCGTCAGCGCATTGCAACTCAGCCATTTAGAAGTTGTTATACCGCTGCCATCCTTGCCTCTGCGTCAGCCACGAAGCGCAGAGCGTAGCAGACAAATTTGACCATGTAGCTAGCGTAGCAGGCCTGACTCTCTGGGTTCTGTAATCAAGCTATGGGCTGCTGATCAATCTCCTGTTGCTTTGCGCTCCTTAGCCACCGCCTTGTCTCTCGCGCAAGTGTTGACAGCCCCTTGACGCTTCTCTCCACTAGCAGCTCCGTTAGCTTCGCTGCCTGCCGCAGCTTCTCCTCACCTCGATCAGGCAGCTGGGTCTGATGCGCAAGATGCATCAGATTGCAGTTAGCAAAGTGCTCCAGCCAGCCTGTCTGCTTGAACTAGCTAGTTTTATCTGTCTTTGCAACTTCAGCGTCTATAACCTACACCTTCTCTTTGTTTACGTGTTTTGTTAGTGTCTATTCTGCTAGCTACTCCCTAATAATATCTATTATCTTGTAGGGGTTAGACAGTGCGTAATTATTGTCTACTACCTTAATAACAAAGTATTGCTAGAGCCTACTAGTTTAGAAGAATGTCTGCGCTATAACCTTCTTGCAGAGTCTAACGTCTTTACTGCTCTAAGCTGTCTAGTGTACGTTGTTGCAGTGCTTCTGCATTCTAATCTTGTTTGCGGTACAGAAGCCGCAGTCGCTAGTGATCCTGCATTGATAGACGTCTAACGGCTCGCCTAGCTGCTCAATCGGCGGCCCCAACGGCGCAGGCAGCTCAACATCTTGCGGTGCGGCGATCTGCCATTGCCGGCAGTGCTCTACAATTGATTTCCTCTCTTTGCTTGCTACGCCGTGCTGGTCGCGCAGATGCACATCGACGTTCTGTATGCCTGTAGCGTGCTCCTTGCAGATTAGCACCTGATAGCGCTGGAGATAGCAGAAGCGCTCTTGCACGTTGTTGATTGTTATCTTGCTTGCGCGCGGTCGCTTGCGGTGCTGCGTTGTAGTTATTGTTGCAGGTGGCTGTGCGTTCCAGCAGAACTCCATGCCTAAGATAACCCTAAGCGCAGCAATGCAAGCTAAGAAATGTAGAAACAAAAGTTACAGCGCGATAGAGTGTATGATTTTTGGCAGGTTTTGTATAGAACATGTTCCGCAAGCGGTGCAGCTTAGGGGTATGATCAGGGGTCAAAGACACGATGTTTGCCCCCTATCGCAGGCCCGATTTGGTTGCGCAACCCTAACGCTACACCCATTTCAGCGATGATCGGGCCCAAGCATGCGCGTCATATAGGTTAGGTCCTTAAAGAACTCTAGCCAGCCTGTGCACTTAAACCATCCTGTCTTGTCAGTCTTTGCAGCTTCTTCTAGTGTTTGCAGCTCTTCCTTAATTTCTTGTTGTGTTAATCTGTACTCAGCAAGCTGTGCCTGGACGTGGGTTTCCATTGCAGCGTCTTTAGGATCTCTAGCATCTATAAAACTAACAACAAAGTATTTCTGCAGTCCTCTAGTGCAGAAAAAGCTCTGCACCTTCACAGTCCTATAGAGCAAGCTTTTCTCTCCTACCCACGCTTGCTTATAATTTCGCTTGCAGTGCTTGCACATCTTATCTTTGTTAATTGTGATCTAGCTGCATGTCTCGCACTGTGCACCATCAAGCGGCTTTCCTAGCTCTTCTATTGGCTGCGCGGGCTCTTCTGGGAGCTTAATTGCGCTTGGAGCGACGGTCTCAAATTGAGTGAAGCGCTCAAGTATCTGTCGCCGTAGCGCAGCAGATGCAGCATGATATTTGCGGAGATGCGCATCAAGACTTACAACTACTGTACAGTGCTGCTTGCAAACAATAACGCTAAAGCCTTTAAGAAAGCAGAACACGTTATTAGAATTGCTGAGTGTGAGCTGCTGGGGCCATCTGTGGGAGTTTGCAGTGTTGTTTTCGCTGCTGCCTGAATTGTTTGCTTGGCTGTCCTAAACAAGCTCCATCGCGCAGAAACGCTAACCCTACTTACTATAACAGCACTAAGTTTTGCTAAATAGATAGATAAAATGCTTAGCGTTGCTGTGGAAGTATAACGTACCCCACGGGCGAGCTGATCAACGGGCAAGCTGATCACTTTTGCCAAGCCCCCACCAAAGTAACCTCTACATAGTACCAACGCCTCAACAACAACCCAATATTAACGCGTTAAGGGAAGCCTAAATACAGCTTGCGCTTCAAGCTCTCAAACAAGACGCGAATCTCACCTAGCAACGCGCTGCAGCTATCTATAAGGTGCCTCAGAGTACACTAAGCACACAACGCGCAGGACAACCTTCACGCGCTAATTCTATAGCCAACTCGCGAAAGCTGGACAACAACAAGGAGCAGGTGATTATTAAACATGTCCTTGAGCTAGACGCGCGAGGATTTGGCCCCCAGCTAGCAGATGTGGCTGCTATGGCCAATTCTCTGCGCGCTGAGCGCAATCTAGGCCCTATTAGCGTAAATTGGCCCAGTACGTTTGTTAAGCGTTAACTAGAGCTTAAAGTAAAGTTTAATTGCAAGTACAACTACAAGCAAGCCCTCTGCGAGGATTCAGGGGTTGTGCAGGGCTGGTTTAGCCTGGTAGCCAACATCAAAGCCAAGTATAGCATCCAGGATTAGGCTGGCGGAATGGGTATACTCCAACGTCCTTCGTGGGTACCCCCCAAA